GTGTACCATCGACCTGAAGAATGGTTACTGGCAGATATTCCTCGCTCCCAGCAGCAAACCGATCACCGCATTTACCGTGCCAGGCCGAGGGCTAATGCACTTCCGGGTCATGCCATTCGGCCTGCATTCAGCCCCGGCAACTTTCCAGCGACTGTTCGACCGCGTAATCGGGCCCGAATTAGAGTCCCACGCGTTCGCCTATCTGGACGACATCATCATTGCTAGCCGGACATTTGCTGAACACCTGCAGCATCTGCGCGAAGTCTTCCGCCGACTGCGCGCAGCCCGACTCCGCATGAATCGCAATAAGTGCCGATTTTGCGTGCCGGAGTTACGATATCTCGGGCATATCGTGACTCGCGACGGGATAAAAACCGACCCCGAAAAACTATCGCGATCGCCGATTGGTCCATCCCGCAGACCGTAAAACACATCCGACAGTTTCTCAGGGTGGCCTCCTAGTATCGGCGGTTCATCCAGGATTTTGCCACCGTCTAACCGCGTTGACACGGAAAAACACGCGATGGAAATGGGGGGAGGAGGAACAAGGCGTCTTTGATGTACCGCGATATCGCGCGGTACGTGCGCTCATGTGAGAGCTGCCTCGCATACAAAGTGTCGACCACCGTTTTAAAGATTATTCATTCTTCCTGTTCAACAAATTTTTTGTAAAATAATCAGTTATTACAATAATACATTAAATTCATTATAAATTAGTTATTTAAATAATTAACATAAAATGGAAGAGGGAGAATCATTGGATTTTCAAACGTATTTGATATATCACATGCAGAAAAAATAGAACTCACTGACGACGAAGAAAATTACGCATACAATATAAAAAAATGTTATGTAATGTCGATAATATCTCGATAAAATATATAAAGAAAAGTAGTTGAATTTTGAAGAAGTAGTAAGACAAATTCAAGAAGAATTGAAGGAATGAAACAAAGATTTCGAAATTTTTATCAAAATTTTATCTGATGCTTATGTAAACAATATATGCAAATAAAACTACATCTTCACAAATCTATTTCTTGCGTAGAGTTGCGATAATAATAATAAAATATTATGAAATATAAATGTTGATCAATAAAATATATTCATAACATTGCAATAGCTACCATAAGCGCTGCAATAGTTGCCGTATGACCAAAATTAAATGAACGATATTTTATACAAATAATCATTTCTTTATTTGTAACTTGTTTTTAATTGTCCATGGTGCTGCATACATTCTTTAATATCATACAAAATATTTGAATATTGTTTAATAAACCCATTATCATTATTAAAATTATGATTATGCTTATGATTATTATTAATAATAAGAAAGAGAATCTAATGAACGAGCGAAAATGAAATGACGTGACAAAAATAAATTCGAGTAAATAATATTTATTGTAAAAATAATAATTAGCAGTGTCACCTTCAATATAAATTGTACATTTCGATTTCACGGGGCCTTCTTCAGCAATTTTTCTTAATGATAAAAAACGATAAAAAACGATAAAAAAGGAAGAGAAATTTTAAATGCATACAACTTATGCGTCTAATTATTAACTCTTAATTTCACTCTTATAATTACTATATTTTTCACATTTTTATAATCTTTTATCTATTTGCGCTTGAATCTAAATGTGTGTTCTATAATTTCATCGAACCAATTTTTATGCATTTACAATTCCTCTTCGTTTTTTATCGCTTTTGTTAAGAAAAATTGCTGAAGAAGGCTCCGCAAAGCCAAAATATCAAATAACAGCCGGACAATATCAAATTTATATTGAAAGTAACTCTGCTAATTGTTTTTACAATAAATATGGTTTATTCGAATTCGAATATTTGTTTTTATCACGTCACTTCGTTTTCGCTCTCTTTCCTCTTGTAAATTTATACGAGCTGATGCAATTTTGCTCTGATGATGATTATTATTATAACAAAAAGTATTTGAAAAGACTGTTACGTCCTATTCCACAATTCCTCCTTTTCGAACAATTGCGAAGGGCTTCGAAATATCTTGAAAAATTTGTTTCTCGGCGAAAGTTATATTGCTCACTAAACGTTTTTTCTCTTCCTTGAACAAATAGTCTCGGCGCCAACAGGACGGGAGAACCTGATAAAAGAAATTTTCCTAATAAAATGGGCCCATAAAACGGGGTAATAAACAGTTGAAATTCCATCATATAACAGAAACTGTAAATCTTTTTTTATATATTTTTATTTCCCCCTTCCCAAAAGTCGGGGGAACTCAATTTAATCAACCCGGAAAAGCCAAGAAGTATTTTTCGAGATACGCACCACCTTAGCTGATAAGTTAGATTTAATACACCGAAGGCCATTAAGACCAAAATTTCAATTGATGTAAGCGACACGCCCTAGAACCTCCCCCGTATCTCCAAAATCTTTATAAGTCGTAACTCCGACCGCGACTCTCTCTCTCTCTCTCTGTCTCTGTGCTCTCCAACTTCTCTGTGCATTGCAACTTCTCTGTGCACTGCAACCATCCTATGCTCTCCAATCTCTGGAACTGCAAAGTTTCTGCCATTCAAAATTCTCATCGCGGAACCTTCCCAGTGAACAAGTTCTCGAATCGAATGTTTTTTAATTCGAGTGTGTTCCAGCAGGCTAGGATCTGCAGTATCAGGATTGTCACATCCAAAATAAGTCGAATTATTTATTTCCTTCCGGTTTCCTTCCGCGCATATCTTCGCAACCCAAACTTAACATCCGTAACTTATATTCACTTAATAGTGAACAACGCAAGTATTAATCGGAAGACGGCTAGACGGCTACGGCGGGAAGCTAAGTTCCAAGCGCGAATCCTGTTGGATCAGGCCTCTCGGAAATTCCAATCCATCAACCTGAGCTTCGGAGTGTCGGAGCTTCACCAACGTCCGAGGACAAATCTCACACACCACCACCGCGAGTTCCAAAACCTTACGCACCGTCCCCCGAATTTCCGCCGCGAGACTCAACGCTTCGCACTGCATCCCCCGTTTTCCGCCGAACATCCCCTTCCCTTCCCTCGCGAGTCTCAACGTCTCGCATTTCATCACCTGTCTCCTCTCCCTCACTTTCGCGAGCCTCGACGCTTCGCGTTCCGTCGCCACCTCGCCCACAAACTCCCCCTTCACCAGCGAGTTCCACGTCGAGCGTGGAATTCGTTGGCGAGGTTCCAACGGTACCGCCGGTACTCTTCAAGGAGGAACTTACGTTCCACGATATTCTCTCGCAGTTTCCTATCTTTACCGAGACTCTTCCCCCGGGAGCATTTACAATAGGCCTCGAATCCATCAATTTAACAGCACGGGATCATGTAACACGCAACCGACCCGACAACACCATTATAACGTACATTCCCGGAGTTTCTTATCCCTATTTAATCTCCGTCTGATACTTCTATAGGATGTTCCTACCCCCAACCATGAAAACTCTACCGCGAACTTAATAATCCCATCGAATCTTCCTTTCCACACACACACACACACACGCACGCACGCACGCACGCTAACGCCGCACGCACGCACGCG